CACCCTGATGTCTTGTGGGCCCCTTATGGCTCCGTCCGACCTAACTAAAGTGCTATAAACTCTCAAATATTGCCAAAACCCCAAAGGCACCACCAAAACAATTTTTTCGCCACCGCAAGTATCTGTGCTTCTGCAATCCAATCCGGAGGCCTTTGTCGGTCTCTGCCGGAGGGGGAATTGATCGCAGAGGGCTTCTCCGATGATGTGTGAGTAGTTCTCCACATGACCTATGCGTCCATAGTAGTAGCTAGATGACTCCCTCTCTATCTCTCTCTCTCTCTCTCTCTCTCTCTGATCTTCAATACAATGTTCTCTTCAGAGATCGATTCGATGTAATCTGTTGCAGTGCATTTATTGGGATCCGATGAATTATGGGTTTATGATTAGATTTTTCGTTGAAAGTAATTGAGTTATTTCTGAACTTCATTACGTGTGATTGTTATAGCTTTGTATTTCTCTCCGATCTATTCGTTTGGTTTGACCAACTAGATTGATTTATCTTCAGTGGGGGAGGTGCTTTGTGGTAGGTTCAATCTTACGGTGTGCTCACTCTATGACAGGAGGGGTAGCAAGGCACGTAATTGTATTATTGCTACTAAGGGTAAAATGACGGGGTTTGATCATATTACTTGGTTTTATTCTCTCTATATTATGTCATCATGCTCAAAGCATTACTCTGTTTGTCAAGAACTTAATACCTAAATAGGCAAGCGTAGAAGCGCTCTCGAAGTGGAGTAACAGTAGTAGATGCAGAATCGTTTCGGTTACTTTTCTCAGACGTAATGCCTGTGTACTGATCATGTCATGAATAATGTCATAACTATGCGCTTTTCTATTAACTACCCAACAGTAATTTGTGTATCCATCGTTTGCTATGTTCTTCAAAGAGATGCCTCTAGTGAAAGCTATGGCCCCCGGGTCTATTTAAATCATATTACTAAAACCCTAAATACCTTGCCGCAATTTATTTACTTTTATTTTATTTTGCAATTTATATATATCCTACTATCAGATTTAATCCTTACAATTAACAAGTACAGGGGATTGACAACCCTCTTGCATGCGTTGGATGCAAGCATTTGCTCTTGTGTGTGTAGGTACCGCTAAAGATCGTTTGCGTGGACCTTTTATTTGTTTGATAAACCTTGGTTCTTTACCGAGGGAAATACTTTTTGCTACTATACTACTTCACCCTTTCTCTTGGGGGAAATTCCAACGCCTCTCAAAATTAGCAACTACACACATTAAAGAGTGACTCCCATACTGAGTCAGAAAATCCTAGCAGAAGGAGTTTGACCATTAAAGAGTGGCTCCCCTACTGAGCACTTAGTAGGAAGGTAACACCACATTATCATTGCACAAGACATTTTCTGTTCACCATGAACTGAACCTCTACCCACCTAACCTCTCCATTACAAGAAACGGACGAGACTTGCCTGCTCCCCGCGCATGCGCCCATCCGTACTCCCGTGTACGTGGCTTGATTTGATTGGAACAAAATAAGACCCGCCCCCACCCCCTTAAAATCAGGAGGGAGATGATTAGATTAGAAAGGAAAAAGGGAAAAAGACAGCCATAGGATGAAGTGGGAACATGAATTGAAGCATGGGGAGGGAGCAGGCAAGCCAGATCCACAAGAAACACCGATTCGTCCTTTCAGTTATTCACTTCTACGTAGTTTACTTACAGCTCCTTATTATTTCATAACTATAGTTTCCATCACAACTATGCTTCGAAACTTGTCACTTCAAGTCTTAAAGATGCCATACTAGTCAATTCACTTGAGACTACCCGCAAAAAAAATCACTCGAGATTAGTGACACGTCGAGTGTGTAATAATACTTCCACAAAAGTGTGCTTCAACTAGAATTGTGCACTTGCAGGACATCAGTAATCGATATTTTTTACTGCGTCAATCTTTTTTTTTTGACAAAAGGTGAATTTTGTTGGCTCAAAATTGAGGATCAATAAGATACATAACACAATGAACACACACCCGGTCTCTATACAGCTAGGTTCCATGCAACCAACACTAAGTCACACACATGCGCGAAAACATGCCGCAACAAGCAAGATTGTATAGGACTAAAACCATGTGTACACGAGAAGAAAAAAAAACCCGACCAAATCCGTGATAGGCAAACTATAAAAATGATCTTATCCGCACCAACCATATCATGACACCACATGGACAATGAGGTTCTTCAACAACAACACGTTCAGGAAAGGAGCAAAACTCAAGCTCCACCGTCACCGAATCCAACCAAAAGGCCAGAATCTAGGTTTTCACCTTGATGAATCTGCCCGAGCATATTCAAGCAATGCCTTCAACAAGTGAACGATGTAAGCAAAACATCGTCATTGCCAGATATAACCACTTGAGCTGGCCTAGGCTTTCGCCCGAGAGCTCAAGACCGGGTGCTCAAGTAGCACCACCAGCGAAGTCACTTATGTGTTGTCGCCATCACCTTTCCACAATCCCGACAGCTACATGCGATGCGACCACCATGATAGCACAACCATCCCTCATCCATAATTTTTATCTCACGTCGTAGTCAACCACCGGGTCAGGAGATATGAACCCTCCCGAAAACCTTTCGATGACCACCACCATCATGAAGCCATAGGAAGTCGGTGCAGTAAAGTTTGCAGTCACCACCATCCAACCGATTGGATCTGCATCACCACCACAAAGACGTGGACCGTAGTGCCGCCGGTCAACCACCCACGCGTGGAAGGCCATCACCTGAACGTCATGGTCCACATCCAGCATAGAGCACGAAGCACACCGACCCCCGACCACACATCCGATCGAATCAGGATGGAGACCGGCCCGCACACGGACATCCCTATGCATCACTGAGGTACCGGACGTCGATTTTTTGAGCTCGGGTTCTTGGACACCTCTTATCTTTACCCTCCATTGTTGCTTTAAGATCCGTACTACACAACTAACTTAGTACATGAAACTTTCTTTTTTTTGTTTCTTCAAAACAAAACAACATATGAACTTCAAACTTCCCAGGACAACAAAACATTCTTACTAGAATGTGGGATAAAACTTTCAGATTTTTTGGTCCAACAAAAATATTGAAAATGAGATTTTTTTAACTAGAAATCCTATTTTTAGTATTTATGATGCATGAAAAAATCTGAATTTTTTTTCCCACATTCTTATTAGAATGTTTTATTGCGCTGAAAAGTTTGAAGTTCATATGTTGAACTATATGAGAGAAACAAAAAAGAGAAAATTTCTTGCACGAATCGCGATGCAGAATTGGATGGCTAGATAAGGGGGTGCCCATGAGCCTATGCTCCACAATATGTTTTTGCTACCCAGCCCTCTACTTCTCCACATCCACGCTGCGGCACCCACCTATCATTTCCAAATGGCCGACCTACGCCGCCATCGGCAGCAGTCACCATGCCATCGTGGATCAGACCGGGGACGCGCTCCCATGAGCCTGGTTCCCCATGCCACCCGACCGCCACGAGAGGGAGGTGAGTCCCCACCACTGTCGCCGGCCGCCTGGGCTTAGCCCCGCGGCTTTCTCTAGCGGCGACAGAGGGAAGGAAGGGAGGAGCGACGGGTACCGGAGGCTAGGGCTTGTGTGTCTCCCGAGTCGCTAGTATGACTACCTTTTAATTTTTCGATAGAACATATTTGGAAATTGTGTGCGCTGATAGATAACTTACACTAGTACACTACTTATTTCAGGAAATTTCCTTTTTATTTTGAAGGGACATATTTCAGGAATCGTGAAAGAAATTTATGCCACGCTTAACATCGACAGTAAGGGAGAGTTGGAATGCAAGCACTAACCCGGCAGCCTGCACGAATCCGATGATGGTGAGGTACCAAAAATCAGTCTTGGTCAGATCGGAGACGAAGCCGCCGAGGAGGACGACGGTGGCCCACAAAAGCGCAAGGGCGCTCACACCTTTCAAGCCCATTAGGATGTACGCCATGACGACCGCAATCTTGTTGATGCTGCTTACTTCTGGCCGCTGTCGAAGCTCCTCCGAGAAAGCATCAAGCTCATCTCCCGAGCCCCGCTGCTGCCGCTTCGCATTCCGGCTTCTAGGTGCTCCGTCGCCGCTCCGCTCTACTCCGGTAGAGGACATTCTCCTCCGTGGTGTGGTAGTGCGTGGTGGATGTGGATCTCTTCGATCGGTTTGCTAGTGAAACCGTCGACTGGTCTCTCTTCTTCTCGACCGGTTTTGCTAGCTAGAGCTTGCTTGGCTCGCGTGGAAAGGGTATATATGGATGTCATGGGGGAACAGCGAAGCTCGCATCACATTCACATCACATGTAAGCAAAGCATATATGTTCTCCTAAAAAAGGACTCGACCATAGCTCGCATGCAAGCAAGCACACGTTCTGCATAAAAAAGGACTCGGGTCCAGATAGTACTGTGCCATTGAGTGCGCGACACGGCAAGAAGCCAAGAACCTATAGTAACTTTCGGTGCTGGATTGGGTGCAGTTGCTTTTGCCGCCGGTGGGTCGCTCGATGATACTACTAGGGCAATGATTTAAGGTCTGTTAGGGAGTAGATCTCCAATCTCTCTTTAGTTTGCTTGTCAGACCGTCACTGGCACGTAAGTATGTTGGAGCTGACTCTCTCAGCCCCTCTTCTCCCTCACGGCTGCCTCACACAACCAACTCAAGAAAATGGAGACACAGGTGTTTGGCGTCGGACTCTCACAGCCCAACCTTTTCTCTTTGCCTCTATTTCTCTTCACAGAAAGCAAACATGATTACAAGTTAAATAGGAAACGCACACACACAGCCCAGCCACCATACTCGGCAACTAACGCCACTAACCCATGCACCCACTAACTGCATGCACGCCAATGCTTGGCCCATGCGCAACGTCCTCACAACGGCCTCATAACCCGGCCAACAGAACGTGCATGCATCAACTATTAGTCCTGATCTACTTGGCTACTTAGTTTAAGAACCGGCTCCAGGACTGGTTCACACAGGTTGTCCTCCACCTCGTGTACTGTTGTTGTTGCATGGCTTCACGCCTTGCACTCCGGCCGCGTCGCACGACCAGCTCGGGCATCTCGCCTCGTGTACGCTCCGGAAAGGTTCACCTGCCTACAATGCCCTAGACAATCCGAACTACATGCATGAACGAAATAAACATGCAGATACATGATCAAGATTAAAAAGCTAACAATCTCCTCCTTAATCTTGATCCTTCACTTGTGAAACAGCTTCAGAGAAGAGCCGGCTCGTCCTCGACGCCGAGCAGTGCCTTGTCCTTGTTGTCCTTCTTCTTCTCCGGACACTCCCAAGCAAAATGCCCAAACTCATCACAGTTATAGCATTGTACCTCGCTCTTGTCTCTGCGCCCTCCACTGCGGCCATGTCCACGGCCACGGCCACGGCCACCGCGGCCGCGTCCTCGCGATGAGTCATGCCCTCTCGCCATGAGGAGCTGCTCTTCTTTATGTGTCGTCTCCCGCCCCTTGACGAGCTCCTCGTGCGCCTTGAGTGAACCAATGGCCTCCTCCATGGCCATCTTGTTGGTGTCGCCGAACAATGCAATCGATGACGCAACGTGGATGAACTTGTTGGAGACGGCTCGGAGAAGCTTCTTCACGACATATTTCTCCTCCATCGCATCACCAAGCTCACGGATGCGCCCCACGAGCGTCGTGAACCTCGCCGCAAAATCATCCACGGACTCCGCATCACCCATCTTGAGGCCATCAAATTCCGAGCACAAGGATTGAACCCTCGCCTCTCGGACGCGCTCGACGCCCACATGCATGGAGCGTAGCGCCGCCCACACATCGGCTGCGGTCTCCTTCTCCGCAACTCGCAGCAGCGTCGAGTCGTCGATGGACTGGGAGATGATCGTCATGGCCATCTCCTCCTTGCCCTTGTCGACCTCCGATGAGGCCTCGCGATCAACGGCACCCCACGCGCCGTTGGCGCGCAAGAGGTACTTCATCCTCATCGCCCACGCCGCGTAGTTCGTCCTCGTGAGCAGCGGGAATGGGAGCTTCCCCGTCACCGCCGTCGTCGCCGTCGCGGCAGCCGCCATCGCCGCCGAGTCGCTCGGCACCAACGCTCCACTCGCTGAAGAGTCACGCGGCATCGTCTTCGTCATCACCTAGCGCTGATACCAAATGTTGGAGCTGACTCTCTCAGCCCCTCTTCTCCCTCACGGCTGCCTCACACAACCAACTCAAGAAAATGGAGACACAGGTGTTTGGCGTCGGACTCTCACAGCCCAACCTTTTCTCTTTGCCTCTATTTCTCTTCACAGAAAGCAAACATGATTACAAGTTAAATAGGAAACGCACACACACAGCCCAGCCACCATACTCGGCAACTAACGCCACTAACCCATGCACCCACTAACTGCATGCACGCCAATGCTTGGCCCATGCGCAACGTCCTCACAACGGCCTCATAACCCGGCCAACAGAACGTGCATGCATCAACTATTAGTCCTGATCTACTTGGCTACTTAGTTTAAGAACCGGCTCCAGGACTGGTTCACACAGGTTGTCCTCCACCTCGTGTACTGTTGTTGTTGCATGGCTTCACGCCTTGCACTCCGGCCGCGTCGCACGACCAGCTCGGGCATCTCGCCTCGTGTACGCTCCGGAAAGGTTCACCTGCCTACAATGCCCTAGACAATCCGAACTACATGCATGAACGAAATAAACATGCAGATACATGATCAAGATTAAAAAGCTAACAAAGTATACTAGCAATGACCGCGAGCTCGCATGCATGCAGTGCAGGCAAGCAGACGTTCATTTGAAAAAACAAAGACTCCAACCAATGCAGGCAAGATATGTAGCACTCCCTCTGTAAACTAACATAAAAACGTTTAGATTATTAAAATAGTGATTTAAACGCTCTTATATTTGTTTACGGAGGGAGTACTACGTACGTGGCAAGATAGCTAGCCTGCAGCCACCATGAACCGTGGTGCGTGTAGCTTTCATCCATTCTAACCCGTCTAAAATCAATGGCAGAATGAAGTTAAGAGTGGACGATGATGGGGACTAGTTTTTACGAGTGATTGCAAAATAAAAATAAAAAAATACACCACATTTGAAGTTCAGTTTCAGATTTGTCACTACATTTCTTTTGCACCCCAAAAATCTACCAATTTCCTTACTAATTTTCGCAATAAACAATAACGACCAGTTTGGGGCGATTTAATCCAATCTTTTACATACCAAGCCCACTGGTCAGGTACACTGGGCACCACATGTTAACACCGTTTGCATTGACTGTTAAAAAAAACGTCTCACGCTTACACCACGCACCACCTCCTCTCGCTCATGACCAGTGCCACCCCGCGTACTCTACCTCATGTCCGGCGCCGCCCCGCCACATCTCTCTCGCCATCCCACCCCCTCTCTCTCCTGCCTATCCTGCCACCTTCCTCCATCTCTTCTCCCTACCCGCGCCGGCGAGATCCGCCGCCGCGCATCCCGCCCCACACTGGATCTGGCGGTCCCTCCCCTTGCCCTGCCCTGACGAGCTTTGTCCCCCTCCTCTGGCGTGCGGCGAGCCGGACCCCTGCTCACTAGGCCGCGCCACTCCCTACCCCTCTGTCATCGTCCAAAGCGAAGGGGTAGGTCCAAAGCGAAGGGGTAGGGAGTGGTCTCATAGCTCAGATGTGAAGGGCGAATGAATTAGGGTGGGTTGTTCATTAGGTCTGACCATCTGAGACTGAGAATGGCAGGGGTGTGGGTTGTGGGCCTGTGGCGGCCAAGGGATAGTTTTGGGCGGCTGGGGCTTGGTTGTTGTTTCTCTCCTTCAGGTTTTTCTTTCATGATGCTACAACCATATAATACACTACAATTTTTAGCGCTAAAATAGCGCACTATAACGCGATTAGCGTCGTAGCTAGCAAATTTGCTCAAATAGAGCGTGCATGTCCCTTCCGGATACGCTATAGCAATGCTATAACTAGCGCAGAAATAATGCGCTTTTTTTTTTGTTAACGTTGCCGCTAAGCCTCATCTTTTTTTCCTTTTTTTTTAGAATCCTTTTTTTTGTCAGATAACCCCATCTTCCACACCGGCCCATCTTTTTCCTGAACAAAACACCGGGCATCGCCACTCCAACACATATTTTTTAGCCCACACGCAAAACCTAAAATAGGGTATTCTGCAGCCCATTTACACCGTCGGCTCAGTTACGCATCACACAGCCGCCGCCGCTGCAGCATAGGCGACGGAGAGCGGCCGGAAGATGGCCTTGCCGGAGATCCCCGACGAGCTCCTGGTGGAAATCCTCCTCCGCCTCCCCACCGCATCCGACCTCATCCGCGCCACGGCCGCCTGCGTCTCCTTCCGCCACCTCGTTGTCGACCGCTGCTTCCTCCAACGCTTCCGCAGACTCCACCCACCGCCCCTCCTCGGCTTCCTCGACCAGCACGGCTTCCACCCCGCCCTACCGCCTCACCCCTCAGCGCCTGCGGCCCGCGCTGTCGCCAGCACCGCCGACTTCTCCTTCGCCTTCCTCCCCTCCCCTGCGCGGAGCTGGTCCGTACGGGACGTCCGCGACGGCCGCGTCCTCCTGGACAGACCCCGCCGTCACGGCTCCGGCAAGGGACGCAACGGCGCCCTCTTCGCGGAGATGGCGGTGTGCGACCCCCTGCACCGGGAGTACCTCCTGCTCCCCCCAATCCCCGATGACCTAGCCGCTTCGGATGAGAACCCACTGCGGATATATGGACAGCGCTGGGGCGAGAGCTTTCTAGTCCCTGATGGCGACGACGAGGAGACACCTCCTGCCGAGGATACGGCGTTCAGAGTGATCTGCCTAGCGCAGTACCAAACTAAGCTGGTGGCCTTTGTCTTCTTTTCCGGCACCGGACAGTGGCGAGACATTCCATCCCTGAGTTGGATCAATTTTATACCTGACTTCTCGTCGGAATGGATGGGTATTTCTTCGTGGCGGCAATATGCATATGGTTGCTTTTACTGGTTTGCAGGTTGGAGTGGAAAATTTGCTGTGCTTGACACCCGAAGAATGGAGTTCACCATGGCTGACCGCCCACCCAGAGTTAGCGGTTTCCACAGTTATATGGGCATTGTGGAGGCAGGGGAAGGCATGATTGGGATGTTTGTGCCTGC